CATCTTCAGAGGAATTAAAACACGTGTCGAGGCGTTAAAAAATCGGTTTGGTTAGTGGTAAAACAGTGTAGTGTATTATCGTGCCAAAGGTTCCAGTCTTCGATATACTATCTGTAGGTTAATCGAGGAGATGACAATCATTTTACTTAATTATTTGGGATTTTCTGTCTTGTTTTCTACGAAATGAGAATATTAGTAATACTCCAATATATGTGGGGTACGACAAATCAGATGATTTGCCCCAAAATGTCACTACGTTGAACGAATCTGCTCGTTCCCGAAACGTTCAAAGATAAGTAAATATTCGATATGTTTCCATTATATATCTATATTTCCTTCCTTCAAATATATTTCCAAACGAAGTGTCACTGATAACCTATTGGATTTTTCTTTTAGGCTCCCTGATAGAAAAATGTGTTAAACGCAGTGACATCTTGGGGCAAATCATCCGATTTGTCCCTATATACTACACATATATTGAAATAATACTCATATTTTTTTTTATAGAAACGAGGAGATGAAATCCCAAATTATCAAGTAAAATGATAAATTCTAGGGTGGGACATAAGCATCAATTCATCATTTTTCTTTATTATCTTTTTTTTTTCTTCACAGGAAAATCATCAAGTACTATTACCTCAAGTGCCTAAAGTCTAAAATTAAATAAAGTCTACAACATTTCAATATGAGAGCTATGAATTCAATAAAAGCGTCACAAAATATGATCAAACAATAAAATAACATAGAAACAAACATCAGCAAAGGAAAAATTGAAAAAGAGAATTTCAGCTGACATTCAACTGCATCTCATTCTGCAAAAAATTGGTAATTTCATTCACCACCTTACTCTTCAGACCAGATTTTGCAGAAACAGCTGCAACGACTGCTCCTACACTAGTAATATTGATCCCTTTGAGCAGGGAACCAACACTCCTGGCGAGTTTTTCCCTTTCAGTATCATTCATATCATCTCGTATTATCTCAACGACGGATTTGAATTCGGATACTAGAGCCATTGCAGCAGCACTTCCTAGCGCAGCACCTGAGAAAAAAAAAGGAATAAGATGACCCCACTTGATCATAGAGTACATTTTTGGTATTTCTCTCGCTCCAGCAAATTTCATCGAACCCAACCATCACGTTGTCATGAAAAATGAGACAAGAAAGAATTTTTCAGAACTGAAAAAAATTTAGTATAGTGGATTGGGCGTCCTGATTCCGAATCCGAAGTGATTTCGACTCCCTATTTTGACTCCTAATATCATTTTCCAGAAATTGAGGGGGGTTCCGTGGCTGTTGACGAGCAGTGTAAATCACTGAAGACGACCGACCCCACTTGGTCATTGAGTGCATTTTTTGTATAATATATCTCTCGCTCCAGCAGATTTCAGGATACTTATACCAAACAATATTCACCACAATTTTGCAGTTAGAAAGTCGTGGTACTTTTGAATGCGATCGAAGTACAATGCGAAATTGTGTACCGTTGGTCTTATTCAGACAGAGAAATCGAGAAAAAAACATTACATGAGGTGTGTACCTCATCTGTATAGCAAAAAGTATAACTTCAATCTACGAAAAATGTTTATGTGAAGCACATACAAAAAAACAAATGGATATATATAGCTAGAACAATACTGATCAATAGATAGATCAAGTATGGAAATATGTACCGTGATTTTCATGGTCATGAGTAGCTTTTTCCATGAATAAAAATAAATGGAATCATACGAATACTCCTAGAATTTTCATTTCCACAAAAATATGTATTTTTGACTCGAGGTTATCTTGAATGAATTCATAAATTTCTGCAAAATTATTTCCATCTTCTAGATAGAATCTAGGTAGTACGTGAATATAATATAGGTACTATGTTTTTTATACAGTGAGGACGTAAAAAGTCCTCCCCCCTCTTTAGCCTTTGAAAATAACAAACAAGCGAGGTCGGGTAAAATTCAGGCAAAAAGGACCTCTTTCACTACTATTTGGCATGAAAATAGTTGAGGTCACGTGACCTAGTGTCAAGTGGGCACCATCAACTTTCTTTTTTCAAATATGAAGAGGGTTCACGAGGTGGCTTGTTTTCAAGGCCTTTCGAGTTTCTATCCAACTCCGCTTTGTTTGTGCAAATCGGTCAAGCCGTTTCAAAATTACAAGCGTCCGAATGGACCTCGGAAACAGTAAATCACGTTCGAATTGAATTCCAAAAACCGATTTTTCTCGTGTCAATAAGTGAACGATGAACATTTCGAGGATGTTTGAGCACTTGTTACAATTCCCACTTGAAATTCTGTTTCAATCAAAAGTTGAAGCAAATTTCAAACGTTTCTCATTTTGAAACGGCTTGACCGATTTGTACAAACGGAACGGTGTTGTATAGAGAATCGAAAGACCTTCAAAACAAGGTTATATGACTACAACCATCTTCATGTAAAATTTTACCCGACCTCGTTAGCTTGCTCCTTTCAAAGGTTAAAGGGGGGGGGGAGGTCTTTCTACATCCTCACTGTTATAATAGCAAAAATTAACTGGTCTGAGAGTTTTTATCATCGATGATGTTGCTGTGGTAACTTTGAATAACCTGTGTTATTGGAAGTTGGATTCAAGATGCTGAGGCATTCTTTGAATAAGCATAGTAGGTTACCAAAATAAAACTATCATTTAGTTTGGGATGGTTTGGGTATGAATTATCTATATTAATTTGGTTGAAATTGAAAAATAAAACCGCTAACTACTGATTATGCGTGATGGGTCATTTTTTATGACACATTCTGTATAATTTGCGGACTGGAATAAAATGCTGCGGGCTAGCTATTTCAATATCTAATTAAAAAAAGTTTCCCCCCTCTGGGAAACACTTTACTCGTGTGTTTTTTCATAAAATCTTACGGACTGGGTATTTTTGCAAGTCCAATCGGTAAAAAACACGAATTTGATATTGAAAATGTGAACAAACCATTATTTATCAAGATATTTCACTATAAAGTCACAAATTTCACCTTCTTCTCCGCCTGTCTTCTGGATTGCATTTTAAACAATTTGCCCTTCTTTTTGCATCATTGGACAATTTATATATATCACAATGTATCACACATTTTATTCTATTATTGACTCAACTAGAAATATGATTTTTTTTGTGATTAACCCATATTTAATGAAAAGAAGGAAGAATATCATTCAAAATGATGTCGTGTGTAATATGTCATTCAAACACATTCAAAAGCAATCTGTTGACATTTGACATCTCGTATTTCGATTGACTATTAATTAAATGGCCGTCATCTGGTATGTTTGTTCATCAAATATGAAAAACTCGCCATAAAAATCATATTACCTGTTGAATTTTCTGAATAAAAATGTGTCATTGAAGTACATCATGAGTATATAAAGTGTCCAATGACAAAATAAGAAGAGCAAGTACCTGATGTAAATGCATCCAACACAAAGGGGAAAAAGAAATATCTCGATAAATAGTGATTTGTTCACATTATCATTGTCAAATTCGTGTTTTTCAGACAAAAATACGTAAGTACCAAAAAAAATTATCGAAAAAAAACCCATCGCATGCTAAATGCAGTTTTACCGTCCAATCTTATCAATTTTCATACAAAAATCGATCAATGTTATGAAAATACACGATATAAAGTATTTCTAATTATCCCCCACTCCCCCAGCCCCACTGGGGAGCACTTTAAACCTAAATTTTTGATTCATCTTGAGTGGAAAAATCTCGGGAAAAATAGGGAAAAACTGGCCCTATTCACACTACAAAACTTTCAAATTTTGTCACTTTTTCAACTCACCTGCAAGCAATCCATTTTTTCCTCCAAATAAGGCCCCAATAAAGGTTCCAACACCTACAATAGCAGCTCCTTTTGCAGATTCTTTAACGGTTACTTTCAAATTTTCCTGTTGAGCGAGGATTTCGCAAACATCCAATATGATCTGAGATTTTCGTGACATCTTGTTTGGTTTCTAAAGTATACGATCTCCGTTTATTGAGCTCAATGGGGAATGTGTTTTGGTAACGTTTTAAGCCCGCTTTTTATTTAGATATAGGTACCTACTTATCTGTAGTACTGTAGTTTTTTGCCTATCTGGTATCTGTAGTTTTTTCTGTGAACCACCTAATGGACTGATTGACTGAAATGTATCTATCAGCAATCCGCAGAGATTAGACATTCCAGCATGGGCGTAGCCAGGATTTCATTTAGTGGAGGCAGTGGGGCATTTTTTCAAATGATAAAACGATTCCTTAGTTTTTGGATGTATGATAAATTGATATTCATTATACAGTACGTGGAAAGAAATTCTGAATTGAGAAAACCTGATCACGAATCTGCGATTGAGGTCTATAAAAATAACAAGTTTCCATCGCTCAAGTTTGAACCCCTTGATTGGGTGAGAGATAATGTCAATTCTCAAATTCAGAGGATTTTGATTTTTCATGCTCTCTTTTTGGATATTCAACAGGAGTAGTAGGAAAGTAGTTGTTTTCTGTTGAATATTCAGAATGATATTATGTGCGCATATCTTTATATGAAGGAGAATGCAAATTCTCCACTTCAGAAGATTTTGTTTTCAAATTCTTTTCGTTCAATAGATATAATGCAATGTTCGTCGTGGCATATAGCCATGAAAGTAGTTGTTTTCTGTTGAATAATCCGAGAAAGAATTAATATCTTCATCACATGGAGAATGCGAATTCTCAATGTATTCCTTTATATATTATATATATATAAATTTTTTTGTGACATGAATATATATCTGAGAATTTTTCTTTTCAATATGAAACAATTTCTGCTCGACGAAATCAAAGTTACTTCAAATCAAGCCTGTTGGTATCTTAACAGAATCTATTTCTCCTTCAAATATCTTCTTCGTCTAGAGAACTATATTTCTATATGCAGTCTCAACCTACAGAGACAACTGAAGTCAACCTTCGGTCACATAGTAAAGTGAACCTCAACCAGGTTTTCCCTCTTTTTGATGTATTGAATGACTTCTCAATCGTAAATGTTGGGCATGGTTGAGTTAGTGGAATTAACAGAGCCTGTTTAGTTGCTGAACGTAAAAAATCTGTTTCTCTTAACGAATTTCTATCTCACTCATTGCCCCTTTCGTGATTTTTCATTTCCATAAGTTGAACCATAATTTACCATCACAAAAAATGCATTCATACTATAATGACCAAAAAAAAAAAGGACGTCCTGGGTAGGTCCTTTTTGGAGCCCAAGGGATGTCAATGGACATCCTCCTAGTGAATGACGGACTTTCCTGGAATGTCCATAGCATAGAGGGGCCAGGTAGCCGTGCGGACAGAGTGTCGGTATTCTAATTCGCTTGCCGGTCGTGGGTTCGATTCCCAACGACTGCAGACATTTTTCTGATGGCCCAAGAAAGTGTTTGGAATCACACGTTAAAAGGTAAGGCCCCCGTCATTCCTTGCTCGCACAAGACTCTCGAAGACTTCTGAGGGTTGCTCGTAAGGGGGCAACCGAATGACGGATAGAACAATTTTTTTTTTAGAACAATGTACCTGTGTTGTTAGGGAAACAAGTAATTTCATTGCTATCCGGATGAATTGGCTTCAAAACACACAATTTGAAATGATCAACTGAAAATATAAAGCGAAAAATAGTACCTATCATGAAGAAAACTTTGACTATCATTTTTTTTTCTGCACCAGGGCCACTTGGATACGCCCATGCTTTCCAGTGATCCATCGTCCAATGAAGGAATTAGGGTACATTCGCGTGTTGTCAGAATCATCAATTTTTCCTAAATGCATTGTCTTACAAATTTGGGATTCCCTGCCGTAGAAATAGCCGTTACATGTGATGACCACAGAAGAAGAAGGGGGAATGTCACAATATGGTGGAAATTGACATGACACCGCCATCTGATAGCCTAAAGTGTTGCCAACTTAGTGGATTTTACACTAGAACTGGTGGTTTGAGTTTTCGTTTTGTGACAAAATATGACATCTAGTGGATGGTGTTTATTTTGGTGAATTTTTTGAAATAAATGGTGAAATATAGTGGTTGAGGACCTGCATCCAAAATTCCCTTTATTTCATGAAAAAAATCTAATTTGAACAAGTTTTCAGAGAAATACTGGTATCAAATGAAATCACTGTCTAAGGGTTATCCATATTTTGACTGTTTTTTTTTTCTTGTGTTATAGTGTTTAGTTTCCTGCTGGAAAAAACTTTTTTCGCGTTCATTTGAATATCGTTAAGCAAAGATCCGTTGACCAGCTAGACTTCCATTATCTGGTGTAATCTAGTGATCCAAACTGAAGTTACCAGAAAATCAGTGGATATGCAGAAATTTTCGCCTGTGGCGCATTTTTTTTCAACTTCATCAGGTTTTTGGTGTTTTTCAGGTGGCTCTTCAGCGACTTTTGAAAATCTGAGTTGGCAACACTGAACTTAACCACTATATTTTAGTATAAACAGAAGTCCATAGCAATAACGCCAGCATAGTCAGCTAATATGATCGTTCGAAAATACGTTCACATGGAAAAAACGCGGAATGTCCATTTCAAAAATTGTGAAGAAAGGGGATCGTTTTCCATAATGTATTGTCACCGAAATCATGAACACCTGCCAAATTTCAAGTTAATCGGAGTTACGGAATTTTTGTTGAAATTAAAAAAAAAAATGGCTGCTCCAAGATGGCGGACAAGATTTGGTCCGATTCCCTTCAAAATTGGTAAGTGGGGGTTTTTGAGGTCGGAGATCATGATTTTTTTGTTAAAATTTATAAATTCAAGATGGCGGTTTCCAAATAATTTTTTGTTTTTGTATAAATGACGATAACTCCGCTGTTATCAACATAAAACTATTACTGCGACATATCATCTGAAAGAGAAAAAAAAGTTATTTGTAACTAAGTCATAGTGAGCTATGACCTACATTTGAAGAACTAAAGTTGGTGCTGATATCTCAAATTCTAGAAGAGTTGGTATAAATTTCATATTTTTTTCGAAATCACTTTGAAAAACTGCCATGAGAATGTGAAATTCCTATTTGAATATTTTCCCAAATGAAGAAGTTACGGAGGAGACATGAAAATGATCAAAATCTGTTTTTTGCATATAAAACAAAAACGAATAGATTTTATCAAAATATTTTTTCACATTATAGTTGGCCTTGACAAACTCCATATTTGGTGTCATTTAACCGACCTCGTATATATCTCTCACCGTTAAAAAGATACCCATGGTGAGCATGGTAAGTGGGACACACTGTATAGGGAGAGGAGGAAGGTATTGACATTTTTTTTTTGAGAAGTTTCTGGAAATACTTTCTATGGAAAATTATTTTAATATATAGATACCAGCAATGGAAGTTATCATATTAATTTATTATCAACATACATAATCCTATCATTTATACAATCGAAAATAATCATCTACAATATATAATATAGGTACAGGTAATGAAACCTATTCAACAAATAATTTAAACTTTCCGATATATAAAATATTTTCGAAACGAAATCAGATAACGCGAAACAGTTATGAGATTATCTTAAATCTACATTAAAAGCCTAGAATAATAATATAACACATCTCTCATTCTTGATCATCAATATCGATTTAATTATTGTAACATCACATATATCTCAAGAAATCTACTGTTTTCTAAAATTACAAATATAAGGTTCTCCCGAAGTATTGGGAAGAAGAAAGCAACGAAAGTTTAGATATAATAATAAGTATCCACAATACAAACGAAATGAAGTTTAACTGCGAAATATAAAGTGGGGGAATATCAGATTCAATGGAACTAATAGATGATCAAAGTGAATGTAACAGAATATAAATTATCCAATTATACTATCTAAAAATTCTTTTTCACATAGCTTTGGTATATTGGATGGGTAGCCAAAGTTTACAATATCGTAGGAGGGGATATAAGCCAAGTTGAACAATATTGTTAGTCTTCATTCAACACATTTTATGACAATTACAGAAACCTGATAGGTTTTTGTGATTTACTCAGTTTGACGAAAGTATTCTCATGCAATGTATATTAAGTCACATACCTATAATTATTGTTATATTTACAATTAAAATGTACAAAAAGAAGATAGTTCTCACAACTATATAAACATAGAGGAATTTTACATTATTTTAGGCAAAACATCTTTCGTAATAGGTAACGATTGAACTCCATAATAGGTACAGTCGGATGCAATGAACATGTCGCACATGTGTGATGTTAGCACCTCTAGTCAAATCTGCTAGAAGAGCGCTAACAACATCCAACCGCGACATGTTCTTTGCATCTGACTGTACATACATACATATATTCAATTATGAATTAGGGACTTCATAATTTTGAAATGAGTAATGAACTCAGCTGAGATTCCTCAAAAAAAAGGGGTTTCCTTATCTTATCAAAATTGATCATATCAGTACCTACTGATGGTTAAATATAGGAAAAAAGAAAATATCAGCCTACAATGATTGTTTCCATTTTCCTGAAATAACTCAGAATTCATGAGAATCAGTATTATCATTTAGAGAGAGACTGTTATGGATTAACTCAAAATCTCCAATTCAAACAATTTTCTTCATTTTTCCTGATTTATATCACAGAGGAATCTTGGGATCTTGTTTTTTTTTCTCGTTCTTGATAGAAAGCAGCAGTTAGAGTTACATGGAGTCCTGGGTAATATTTGGATCCCATCTTTACATTTCCGAGAAGTAGAGGGGAAGCCTTGAAACACCCTGTCTTGTTGAGAAAATCATCAGCAAGACTGATATAGGTATAACCAGAACTGAAGTGGAAAAATGGTTATGAACATGAAAAACATTGAGAATTCGCACTCTCTATCTGATGAAAATATTAATTCTTTCTCGGTTATATTCAACAGAAAACTAGTATACTTTCTTGACTATATGTATATGCCACGACGAATATTGCATTATATGAACACACACAATAAAAATTTGAAATAGAATCTTCATAAGTTGAGAATTTGCATTCTCTCATTATTAATATTATTTTGTAGGTATATATATAATTATTCGGCATATTCAACAGAAAACAACCATACTTTCCTCTGGGTATTTGCCTCGTCGGATATTGAATTACAGTTGTTGAACATCCAGGAAAGTAGTTGTTTTTTGTTGAATATTCCGAATAATATTATATACCTTCAGGTGACCTATAGATATATTTTTATCTGAAAGAGAATGCAAATTCTCAACTTTAGAGGATTTTATATCAAATTCTTATTTTGTGTGTTCAATAGATACGTGACCGGACAAACCCGAATTTAGGATAAACTAGTTTTTTCCAGGCTAAACCAGAATATCCGAAGAGCGATAGGATGAACTAGTTCATCCTAGGCTGAACTGGTTTTTTCTTGGATAAATTGATAACAAGTCAAGCTGGTTAATTAAAAATTCAATGACTACGTTCCCGAATGATCTACTCATAGAGGTGTATGTTCCTTCCTCACAAAATATTGACAAATGTATCAACCGGATTCCTTCATCTTCCGCTGCAGTTTTTGTGCATTGTACAACAGCACAATGTGATGGCATGAGCGAATTAATGAATAGCCGAAAAATACGATTCGTATGCCAAAATAATTGTGAAAAACTATTTCAATCACTTCGTCATCTGACAGTTCTTGCACGCAACAGAAAGCAGGTGCATCAACATAATTTTCAACTAATCAGAACTGGAGTTCACAAAAATTAATGTTTCTTCTGAATAACTTCTATTAGTGAGCTGAGTAGACTCCAACAATCAGATTTCATCAAAATAAAGCTATTTGAGTAATAAAACTTCCATAATGTTGCTTCTACATTGGTAGAGGTTTTTAGGTTGGCAACTTGGACCGAAGTCCCCTATTCATTTTTGATGTTTTGAATCTCAGCTGAGCTAATTTTCACAATGGCCTTTCATATTTACAATTCAGCGTGATCAAGTTTATTGGGTTGGTAGAAGTAGTCCCTCTTCGGGAAAACGTGGTCGTAATACCTCTCGTGTTCGTACTGCAAAGGCTTGGGCCTCGGTCGATCTTTTTTGTTCAGTGAACGTCGAACATATTTGTCGATTGGCAGTGAATTTCTGTGAGAACCCATGGCCAAAGTCGAGCAGTACGACCAGTTGTCTTTCGATTTCGGGTCGATGTATCGACTAAAGCTATAGCATTTGTCCTGGCGGCAACTCTCCGTATCGTTTTCGGAGTCGTAGAAATCGCCAGAAAAGATCTTTGGTTTGTCTGTGTGTGTGTTGAGACCGCAGTAGACGTTTTCGTCCATGGGTTTCGATTCTCCTAAGCTACTTCTACCATTGAATGTATGTGTTGTGGGTGGTAGATGCTATATATGTACAGCAGTATGTTAGACTCGTGTTAGTTTATGCCTTTCGATCGGAAACGAATGATTCAATTCACTAACGAAGGAAGACTCGATGTAAAAACTTCACAAACGATAAGATTTACAGAAAACTCTCAAACACACGACGTTTCGCTAACACAGTAGCTTCGTCAGGTGAATAATAAACTGGTAGGACGAATTAAACTAACCTTGGCTTGCTTATATATCCTAGTTTCCCAACCTGAAGGATTAGTTACCTGTGGACAGGTTCGATAAACCTTCATTTTCGGAAATTAGGCACAAAATACGGTGTACGAAATCAACTTGAAAGGGTTGATAGCAAATACATATTAGGTATTACCTACTAAGAAAACAGTTGCAACAGTGGTGAACTATTGAGGTCTAATTGATCGTTAAGTGAAATGTCAGAATTTTTGAGTTTGTTGATTTCTAATGATTCAAAGTCTCATTCTTTCATTTTCTACATGGATTTCCATCAAGTAAACGTCCGAGTCAAATAAAGAAACTCGATATTTGCAAAGTTCATTCTACTACACGACTGACCTATAGTGAAAGAACTTTCATGACCAACAAGCGAACATTAAAATTGGTTGACGCACTTGCGCAGTATGTATAAACGTCGGCACTGCATTACCATTTTTACTTTGTTCTTGGTGTATAATACAGGATGTGTATAGTTGCTAGTGTTTTGCTGTTTCAACATCGATCTCGAGGAGTTTTTTGTATGTCCGCTGATATACCTATACATATAGAGGAAGTCCCGAAATTACATGATGATGAAAACAAATTCCGTTCAAGTACCTAACTGTTTATGCCCAATTTGAAAATGTTGAGAATTTTCTGAGATTTTGATCAGGGGCGTTCGAAATAGGTGGGGCTTGGGGCACTTATTATTTCTTCCCAAACTACTTTGTTTATGCAATTTTCGGCAGTTTGACCACGAAATATGAAAATGACATCATCTTTACATAAACATAGTACTCTTGTTTAGCTTCAATAACACTTCTGAGATAAATCTATTTCAATAGTCTGATGCTCCGTAAAAAAATAGTAGTTTATATTATTATATAGGGTAGTTATCGTATTATTCTTCATTTCATTCTTCATATTGCATTTCCTCTATTTTCATTCAAACATCAGAAGTAGATGTTGAAAGAGGAGTCAGTTTTCATCGAATCATTATTTTTTGGGAGAATTCAGTATACCCTATTGAGGAAGAAGCACTATTTTTATTACGCAGCTGAATTTTGAAATAAAATTATCTAGAAAATGGTGAATGCTAACGAAACTGAAGAGGAGTACTATTTCCAACATATTTTCTGGTCACACTGAGCAAAATTGCATATAAACAAAGAAGTAGGGACAAAAATTGACCTTAGTCCCACCTATTCCCCACATTTATAAATCAGGCATGAAAATAATGAGTGAGGTATATGTATTTACAAAATTTGGTTATTTTCAATGTCTTTATCTACATAATCTGTGGTGTATGTTACAAATTATCTAAGACCATCCTATAGTATGATATACGTACTGCGCATACTCCATCAACCAACCTTTCCAAGCCGATCACGTGGTATCCGTGAGATCAATTCAGCGTGAAATGGAAAACTAATTTTATTCCTATTCCATTTGTTGCTTATAGATCTGTGATTTTCACAATCTTGAGCTGGATTCTATACATTCGAACCAAAATTGAAACTGAAATTGAAAAAGTTGGGTTGGTGATTTAGTCAAGTGACCTAATTTGGAGGAGAAGTGGATGTTGCGTACAAGTCATAATTGAATTCAGTGCATTGTAATCAGACTATGTAGTCGCCTTCAAAATCAAATTTTCAGTCTCGAAATTAATTGCATACTCGAAAACCATGCATATTTGCGATCTTTGAGAGAGATCTTTAAGATAGCGAAGGAGAATTGACATCCATATATCAGTAAAGAATAGAAATTCATTGTTGAATCAAGGGATTAACAAATGCTTGTATACAATATTAACTATATGCTGGAATCATCAGAGGCTTATAGAATGCACTGTTGAGAGGAAATGATTTATTTTCAATTGTGGAACGAAGTGGATCCATATTAAGCGATTATATGAAATTTCAATATTCGTTGATCCATTATCTTTAATATCTGACATGGAAAACGAAATAAATACATCAACATATATTGGAGTACTCCAATATCTGCTATATCGTTTGCACGTTATTATCGATAAATGCATCAATCCACAATCATTTATGAAAAAAATTCCTGAATGGTTTCTGGATTTTTACATATTCGTATATCCGAATTTTCTATGATCATTGAAGTTGAACAATTTAACAAACAAATTGATCACAGTTGGATTTGGAGAGTTATTCAATGAATTGATATTGATGGTTTATAGCATATTTTGATGATTATAGCTCAAACACATGAATATGTGTTATCTTTTCTGAGATTATAAGTAGAGTGTTCAAATAGTTATTGAAGAGAAATGAACTGAATTGATGTCGTTCAGAAAAATATCAATCGTTTCCAATCCGTCAGACTTATAATATACAGGATGTGTTAGAAAAGCTGAGGATACATTTGGTGTGTTCCAGTGACAAAGATGACAATGATACTTGGCATAATTAGGTGGTAGCTTAGACGGTGATATTACATTATTACAAAACCTGACAGACGAGAACATGCAAGGTCCATTCCGAATCTATTTCGAGCTGTTCCAGCGTTTTCCACTGGTAGGTTTATAGAACCCTAGCACCGAGCAACTACAAGTAGCACTGGCATAATCTTGAGGAGCTTAAACATAACCTTAATCCACCCATAAGAGTCGCACCGTCGCTTGTGAACGGTTCTGAAAATTCGAACTCTGAGCGAGTATCGAGAAAATTTGCAAGCCAGTGCAAATAATTTCTCGACACCAGTTCTCGATTGAAATTTCTTGTGGACCACTACGGAGGGGCTCTATTTATAAATAGTTTGAACCACTGCAACCAGTGGAAAACGTTATTTAGTTATGTATCGTTCTCTGAACAACACGTTTTTAGTTTGACTCTAATACTTCAGGCAATAGAGACTAAATAAAGTGCTCACCTGGAAAAAATAGTAGCATTCAGTTTTATACACTAACTTTATGTACAGGTACATATTTTGTTTCCCTAAATCCGAATTTTCCTCTTTCCACTAAAAAATATCACGGGAAATACCTTCTTTGAAAAAAATCGACCATTTTTTATGTGGGCAAAAAAATTTAAAATAAATTGATGAACGGAAAATTTGATGAATATTTGACAAAAAACATTTTTCCATAGAATGAATGAAAGAAAAATGGATGACTAACGTTAGCCCTGATAGAATAGTGGCAGATGATCACAATGACCCCAAAACTTTAAATAAGTAATTCAAAAGCAATAATCACAAGTAACAATTCTCTCTCAATATCAGCACACGATTTATTTGCCCAATTGCCACAGAGAGTGCATTTCAACCAATAAATATCTGCATCTTCCCCTTTACCCGTATTCGCCACACACTAAACATAATTTATTCTGAGCCTGTCGCATCTTTGTCGTTCTGTTATCAGTCCAAGATGATTTTTCTGTCAACCACAGTGAAATTCTTGGCATCTGGAAATGTTTCTATTGCTCAACATAATGTTTCATTCAGCAGTGGGGTAATGGTGGTCTGCCAGCATTTGTTTCCAATAAACATTTCTTTCGATCGACATTCATGAAAGAACTTATTGTTACTAGAGCTACTCATTGTTAATAAAGTTTCAGTGTAAGGTATGTAACAGAGATTTTTTAGTCTGTTTCTCAAAATGTTCGTCTCCATCAACAATATCTCACGCCTTATACAGTGTGACCCATTTAAGATGGAAGCACCCTTATAAAACTTACATTTTTCAACCGATTGGAATGATTTCTGTTTTGTTAGGTAGATATTCAAAAAGTCTATTAGGACACCAAATATCATGAATAAATCTCCATTTCCAGGGCCAACTGATCTGATTTTTCAAGGTAAAAAATCTAAAAAAATCACTAGCGATTTTTTTAGAAAAAAATCTGACTACACCACTGGATTTGTGACATTTTCAAATGGGTAACATGTAAATTACGTTGAAATGCATCAATCAATAACAAAGTTATGAAGGAATGAAATTTGAAAAATATGCCGTTTAATCAACCCATCAATTTTTATTACTGAACAGATTTCGATGAAACTGTGATCAGTAATATTTCAAGACATCCTGAATCCAGTGGAGTATACAGAATTTTCATAAAATTCCTGAACATGAATTGGTGGGTTGATTAAACGGCATATTTTTCAAATTTCATTCCTTTATAACTTTTTTATTGATTGACGCATTTCAACGTAATTTACATGTTACCCATTTGAAAATGTCACAAATCCAGTGGTGTAGTCAGATTTTTTCTAAAAAAATCGCTAGTAATTTTTTTAGATTTTTGACCTTGAAAAATCAGATTAGTTGGCCCTGGAAATGGAGATTTATTCATGATATTTGGTGTCCTAATAGACTTTTTGAATATCTACCTAACAAAAAAAAATCATTCCAATCGGTTGAAAAATGTAAGTTTTATAAGGGTGCTTCCATCTTAAATGGGTCACACTGTATATAAATAGACATTTGTTGTAACAATCGATGACTGTGGAGCAAATGAAATGAATTAGTGAAAACAGTTTTACTGGTATTCAGTTAATTTTTTCTCTACTAGTTGAAATATTTATTCGTACCAATACTTTTGGCTCAACTAACAAAGACTCGACTTCCCCTAAGTGCGGAAGAATTCGGGTTTCAATCAATCAATAATTCCAACTCGAATTCCAATTATGCCTTACTTGCATTCAAGTCCGCACTTTATGGCAAGATAATAATAATTCTAGTGAGTGCTAAAGCAGTCATAACTGCGTGAATAACTTAATACTGCTGCAAAATCTCCAAGGGTTCAAATCTTATTTAGAAGAACTAAATC